AACACTGCAAGGGGGGAATTTCGAGCGGATCGGGGCGGCGGGAACGGGAATGCCACCGCGTGCCACCGCGTCCCCACCGTCCTCGAAGAAGAAGCAGGGCATCTCCGGGTTCTGGCTGAGGCAGTTGAAGTAGCGCTTGTTGGTGCTCGTCGTGTGCTTGATGCTGTTGGTGATGTCGAAGGCCATGCGCTTGCCCGGGGGACACCCGATGAACACGGGCACCGAGTGGTAGCCCTGGGACGGGGACACAATGGGGACACAATGGGGACACTATTGGGGACACCATGGGGACACAATGGGGACACCATGGGGACACCATGGGGACACCATGGGGGACACCATGGGGACATGCACCCATGTCACCCTGGTGGTACCTGCAGTGCCGGCCCCGATTCCGAGTACTGGTAGCAGATGGTGGCCGAGTTGACCACCTGGGGACAGTTGACCACGTGGGGAGGTGGCACTTGGGGACACGCGCGTGTCCCCCGCCGGGCGCCCGCTCCTACCTTGAGCACCATGGAGCTCTTGAGGAGGTTCTTCCCGCTGAATCCCTGCTGCGGATAGCGCGCCGTGTCCTGGATGCTCACCTGGAATGCGAGGAGGAGGAATTCTATGATTCTATGATCCTATGAGGAGGATGCGGATGAGCCCATAGGACCACATTCCCGGTTCCGTCGGTTCCGGTGACCCGCACACCTTGTAGAGCACCGAGGCCCGGTTCACCAGGTTCTGGCGGTGCAGGAAGAACACCAGGTTGGAGGGGTGCGACAGGACCACCGTGAGCTTCACCCGGTTCAGGAAGTTCTTCTCCCAAGCTGCAAAACGAGGAGGATGCTGGAATGGGCGATCCCGCTCATCCCGTGGGATGGAGCATCCCGGAATGGGCGATCCCGCTCATCCCGCGGGATGGAGCATCCCAGAATGGGCATCCCGCTCATCCCGCGGGATGGAGCATCCCGGAATGGGCGATCCCGCTCATCCCGCGGGATGGAGCATCCCAGAATGGGCAATCCCGCTCATCCCGTGGGATGGAGCATCCCGGAATGGGCGATCCCGCTCATCCCGCGGGATGGAGCATCCCAGAATGGGCAATCCCGCTCATCCCGTGGGATGGAGCATCCCGGAATGGGCGATCCCGCTCATCCCGCGGGATGGAGCATCCCAGAATGGGCAATCCCGCTCATCCCGTGGGATGGAGCATCCCGGAATGGGCGATCCCGCTCATCCCGCGGGATGGAGCATCCCAGAATGGGCAATCCCGCTCATCCCGTGGGATGGAGCATCCCGGAATGGGCGATCCCGCTCATCCCGCGGGATGGAGCATCCCAGAATGGGCAATCCCGCTCATCCCGTGGGATGGAGCATCCCGGAATGGGCGATCCCGCTCATCCCGCGGGATGGAGCATCCCAGAATGGGCAATCCCGCTCATCCCGTGGGATGGAGCATCCCGGAATGGGCGATCCCGCTCATCCCGCGGGATGGAGCATCCCAGAATGGGCAATCCCGCTCATCCCGTGGGATGGAGCATCCCGGAATGGGCGATCCCGCTCATCCCGCGGGATGGAGCATCCCAGAATGGGCAATCCCGCTCATCCCGTGGGATGGAGCATCCCGGAATGGGCGATCCCGCTCATCCCGCGGGATGGAGCATCCCAGAATGGGCAATCCCGCTCATCCCGTGGGATGGAGCATCCCGGAATGGGCGATCCCGCTCATCCCGCGGGATGGAGCATCCCAGAATGGGCAATCCCGCTCATCCCGTGGGATGGAGCATCCCGGAATGGGCGATCCCGCTCATCCCGCGGGATGGAGCATCCCAGAATGGGCAATCCCGCTCATCCCGTGGGATGGAGCATCCCGGAATGGGCGATCCCGCTCATCCCGCGGGATGGAGCATCCCAGAATGGGCAATCCCGCTCATCCCGTGGGATGGAGCATCCCGGAATGGGCGATCCCGCTCATCCCGCGGGATGGAGCATCCCAGAATGGGCAATCCCGCTCATCCCGTGGGATGGAGCATCCCGGAATGGGCGATCCCGCTCATCCCGCGGGATGGAGCATCCCAGAATGGGCAATCCCGCTCATCCCGTGGGATGGAGCATCCCGGAATGGGCGATCCCGCTCATCCCGCGGGATGGAGCATCCCAGAATGGGCAATCCCGCTCATCCCGTGGGATGGAGCATCCCGGAATGGGCGATCCCGCTCATCCCGCGGGATGGAGCATCCCAGAATGGGCAATCCCGCTCATCCCGTGGGATGGAGCATCCCGGAATGGGCGATCCCGCTCATCCCGCGGGATGGAGCATCCCAGAATGGGCAATCCCGCTCATCCCGTGGGATGGAGCATCCCGGAATGGGCGATCCCGCTCATCCCGCGGGATGGAGCATCCCAGAATGGGCAATCCCGCTCATCCCGTGGGATGGAGCATCCCGGAATGGGCGATCCCGCTCATCCCGCGGGATGGAGCATCCCAGAATGGGCAATCCCGCTCATCCCGTGGGATGGAGCATCCCGGAATGGGCGATCCCGCTCATCCCGCGGGATGGAGCATCCCAGAATGGGCGATCCTGCTCATCCCGTGGGATGGAACATCCTGGAATGGGCATCCCGCTCATCCCGCGGGATGGAGCATCCCGGAATGGGCATCCCGCTCATCCTGGAATGGGCGATCCCGCTCATCCCGCGGGATGGAGCATCCCGGAATCCGCATCCCGCTCACCCCTCTCCAGCGTGGAGCGGATGCTGAGGGTCACGGAGAAGCTGTACGCGTCGCCCTTGTCCAGGTAGATGCGCTCGGGCAGCTCGTTGCGCGACGGCAGGTCGTAGATCTTGGCGTAATGCTCCATGTTGACGTAGAGGCCGCCCGGGGAGCTGCCCGTGCTCGCCAGGTACAGGTAATAATCCTGCCGGAGCCCTTTCCGTGGCCGGAATGCCGGCGGGAAGCGCGGAATTCCCGGGATTCCCGCAGGCAGCGCGGAATTCC